ACTAGAAATGTCCTATCGGGGTATTGGTCCATGGATGTGTCTGCATAAAATATGTAAAATTCAACTGGGCATGCTGGCTCATGCCTGGAATCCCAGTACTTTGGGAGGCCAAGGCAAGTGGATCACATAAGGCCAGGAGTTCAAGACCAGCCTGGCCAACATGGCAAAACCCCATCTCTACTAACAATGCAAAAGTATCAGCCAGGTGTGATGGTGCACACCTGTAATCCCAGCTACTTGGTAGATTGAGGCATGAGAATCAATTAAATCTGGAGGTAGAGGTTGCAGTGAGCCAAGATTATGCCACTGCCCTCCAGCCTGGGCAACATAGCAAGACCACATCTCAAAAATAATAAATAAATAATTAAAAAAGATATAATTAATAATTGTAAAATATTGTATACTCAATACAGTGAATATTGTATACTCAATACAGTGAATATATTGTGTTTAAGATTTGTGCACTTGTATGCTATAACTCAATTGAAAAATTATAGATGATGTTCAGAACAAAACTTGATTAATTTTTAAGGGCTGAATGTCACTTCATCATGATCCTATATTTATTATTTATTTCTTGCTGTGTGGTTAGTGTTTATTTTCCCATTTTTTGCTTTAATATGAAAAAACTAAGTCCTGGAACATCTTTGAGTACATACTTTCTTCTATGGGAGACATTCTTGGAAGTGAAACTACGAAACCTAACATGCTGAACATTTTTAATGTCTTTTTGACCACATGGCAGCCCCAGAGTCACTCTGAACACATTCTGGTTCTGGGGACTACCTGTTCATGAATTATTCTTTGCTCAATTAAATTCTATAAAATTTAATTTGTCTGAAGTTTTGCTTTCAGCATTGCCTAAATGGCCATATACAGTCCCAATGTTTTAAATATCAAGTTAACTCATGAGTTTTTTCCTTCAGGTTTAACCACCCTTTGAAACTTCTTATTCAGTTTCCCAGTGGCAACCTAACTGTGACACTAAAGAATCTTAAGCTTCAGTGTCCTTTTCTTTTGCAGGCCCCTTTAAAGGGCAACATATGTCCAACTGGTCATCTGTTTTTGTAAAGTGTGCAGAGTAATATATTTTACCTCTGGTTGTTTAATACACCTATCACTTTCCATTTCCCCTTCTCATCTGTCATATTTTTTCTTCTGTTGAATGCAATTGAAGTGACCAAGGGTCATTAGGGCGACCTCGTTAAAACAGAGTTAGTACTAATAGAAATTTAGTGTTGAGTTGGATACATTTTTGTTGCTTGCAGTTACTTGCAGATACAGTTAAGATATTGCTAGCCAGTTTCATTTAGCAGTGACTTCCAGGAGTATTCCCAATGTCCTAAGTGCTGACTCACCCAATCATTACATAAAGAGGTAAGACCACAGATAACATGTCCTACAGACATTCAGCATCAGATATATTTGGGCAGTGGAGGAGAAACAAGTTTTGAAGTGTGTAGAGACAGCACACCCACTGGAATGACTAAAATGTAAAAATACATCCAGTTGAACAACTGGATCAGATACATTTCTAGTGAGAGTGGAAAATAGCACAACCACATTGGAGGACTGTTGGCAGGTTCTAGTAAATTTAAAAATACAGCCACCTTATGCTTTACCAATACCACTCCCAGGAATTTAATTAAGGAAAATGAAAATCTCTATCAAGAAAAATACTTGTACAAAATACTTATAGATGCTTTATTCATAATAGCCAAAAACTGGAAAAACCCAAATGACCATCAAAAGGAGAATGAAAAATAAACTATGGTATATTTACACAATGGAAAATTACTCAACAATAAGAAGAAAGAAAACTGCTGATACACACAAAAGACATGGATGAATCTCAATAGCAAAGAAGCCTGACACAAAATCCCACACTGTGTGATCCCTTTTGTAAGTTGTAGAACAGCAAGAGTTAATCTATAAGGATTAAAAATCAAAGGAAATGTTGCTTCCATAGGGTTTATTGACTAGAAAGTAGCGTAAGGGAAGTTTTTTGAGTGATGCAAATGTTCTATATCTTATTTTTAATGATGGTTTATAAGGGTGTATACATTGGTCAAAACCCATCAAAATGCACAATATGTACACTAAAAACAATGAAAGACATTTATAAAGTCATTAGGTAGTCTATGGAAGAGTCTTCCAATTATCAAAATTTTAAGTGCAGGTTGGTTTTTGTTGATATCTGGTCTCAGTGAAAGTTTTCTTTTATCAGGGAAATCCTTAATTATGTGGTATGTATAACTGTAAATGTATTACTTTTTTCCTTTTATGATAGAAATTTTACAAATGAGAATTAATTAGAATTCTTGTATTTCTAGGACAAATTCTATAGAAGTACTACACATAGGAAGTTCCTTTAGAAAGTGAATGTTACTTATTACAAAATCAGGTGATAATCAAGATATGATCAACGAGTATGCAGAAAAAAATACAGGTAAAAATGTTTTGCATGGATACATACTTTCCTAGTATAGATAGATACTTTCACTAACTGGGTAGAAGCATTTCCATGATGGACAGAGAAAGTCTTTGAGGTGATAAATGTACTAATTAATGAAATTATTCCTTGCTTTGGACTTCCTAAGTACCTCCAGAGCAATAATACGCTCTCATTCAAGGTGGCTGTCACCCAGGGGTGTTCAAAGGGACTAAGCATATAGTACCATCTTCATTGTGCCTGGAGACCATAATCCTTGGGAAAGGTAGTAAAGACAAATGATATTATCAAAAGGCACCTCAGGAAACTATCTCAGGGGACTCACCTCCTCTGGACTGCCCTTCTCTCCATAGCCCTGCTACATATTAGAAACACCCCTTCACAGCTAGTTTTGAGTCCCTTTGAAATGATGTATGAATGGCCTTGTCTCACCAGTTATGTCTGGCTAGACCAAGACACTTCTCATTTGATTAAACACATAACCTCTTTGGCCCATTTCCAACAGGAACTGATACCACTGTGGGAAGCCCAATCCCATGAACCAGGGCCACCTCTATTCAACGCAGGAGACCTAGTGCTAGCAAGGCTACTTCCTTCCCTTTCTCTTTTCATAGGCCCAAGTTGGAAGGGACCCTACAGTGTACTTCTTTCTACTTCCATAGCAGTATAGGTCACTAGAATAGATTCTTGGATTCATTATACTCAAGTAAAGGCCTGCGTATAAATGGAGTCACCTCCATCGACCCAGAAGAGCACCCAAAGTACCAATGTGAAGAGATTGGGGAACTCAAGCTAAAGACTGCCAAAGATAAATGTTAATAGTTAACCTTCCATGGATATCCTCTTTATAGTTTTGCCTATGCTTGCTCTTCTTACCTTTGCTCTGTTCTATACCATGGCACCATAGTGTTTTTGGAATAATTAGTATATTTCATTTCTTATTTCTATAATCTTTGGCACTACATTCTTTCCAATGTATAAAATACATGTTTAACCCAGGCATACTTAACCTTATAAAACTTGTTTTGTTTTGTTTCTTCCTCTTGCTTTGAGGTCATCAAACTTTGAATAGTCAGGCAACCAGAGCCTTGTACAATGGCTTCCTTTTGCCAGGGACCCTTACATAGACCTCTGGGAGGAATCTGGCTGCCGTTTTCCTCAAAGCAATGCCCCCTGTCAGTAGAAAGTAGCTAAGATTGGTCATCGTGCGTATTCTAACAGCAATTAGATGTGTCTGTTTAGAGGTGGGGAATGATGTGGACAGGAGACAGGGAAATACTGGGTAGAAGAGGGTGGTTCCCTGGCAAAGGCTCGACCCTCAAGGCTGGAAACCCACAGCCCTAAGTGAGAATAGGCTTTTCTCTTTTCATGCCCAAAAAGTTGCCTTTTGGCCCAGCACACTCCCCTATCCTGTACCCATATAAATCCTGAACCCCAGATTCCAAAAGCAGATGAGGAGATGAGACAAGCAGACAAACGATACCATGGTGGGGCAGAGAAAGAGAGAAGAGGAGCATCTGAACACCAAGAGGAGTTCGACTATGGACAGTAGGAGGGGAGTTTGGCTGCTGGATGGTCAAACTCCAGGGGAAGATGATTTTCCCACTCTATCTCCCTTCCAGTTCCCCATCCATCCCACTGAGAGCCACCTCCAACACTCAATAAAACCCCTCATTCATCTTTTAAGGCTGTGTGTGACCAGATTCCTTCAGGACTCTTGGCAAGAGCTTGGGATACAGAAAGCTGTCACACTGGTCCTCTGCCCTTGTGAAAAGGCAGAGGGTCCATTGAGCTGGTTAACACTTAAGCCATCTGCAGATAGCAAGGCTAAAAGAGCATTGTAACACTGGGGCCACAGGTACCCACCCCTAGACACTACCACAGGACTGGAGCCCAATGCACTCACCCGTGTTCCTGCATCTGCCCATCTGTGTGCTCCCCCACCGTCAGGGGTTTGAGCAGCAGCAACTGAACAGGTGAGCCACACCCCTGTCACACGTACTGTGAGGCGGTTCAGGGAACTCTCCTGTATCAATACTATTTCAGTTTCTAAATGTGGTGATATTTTGTATTTGTCAGCTTTATAAAATATGAGATGTGTTGTGATTTATGTTCTTATTCTACATATTTATATTTTTCTGCTATTTTTCATGTATAACTTTATATTACTTTTATTCAAAAAAAATGCCTCACATTTTCCAAAGCTCTAGATCCCGCAAAACCTAAATTGACCTCTGCAACTGCCAGTTTGATATCTCAGTGTGGAAATGTAATAGGCACTTCAGACTTCACATGGCCAGCTCAGTACTCTTGCTTCCTCTCCTTCTCCAAAACCTGCCCATTTCCAGAGTTCCCTTTCTAGGAAAATGGCACCACCAACCCCTAGTTAATCATGCCTCAAACTTGCAGTCATGTTAACTCCTCTGTTTCTCACACACCCACATCCAATCTATCACAAACCCTGTCATCCCCGCCTTCAGAACTACTCTGAAATGAATCACGAGGGTAACGAGCGCTATATGGCTGACGGAAGAGTAGGCGATTAATGATTTTAGGTCGGCTTGTCGTAAGCAGATAGAGCTTGTTATAACCATGCCTCATAGGGATAAGATAAGGAAGGGGTAGCTTATTTTTTCTGTTAAGGGGTTAAGAGTCGGAATAACTCGTATCATGCCATAGCTACCTAGTTTTAGCAAGATTGCTGCAAGTACTATTGAGCCGGCAATTGGGGCTTCCACATGGGTTACAGCTCCAACTGTGGCTTAAGCCACCGTCCTCTGTGTTCTCGAACATTAAAATCACCCCCTCAACTCATGTCTCAGCTCCAGCCCTTGCCCTGCCCCAGCTCTTATCATTTTCTGGTTTCCCAGTCCCACCTATGACACCCAGGTTTTTACATTGACCTATGAGGCCCTGTATAATCTGACCTCCAGCTTCCTTTCTAAATTTATTCACCATTCCTTTGCTCACTCTGCTAAAGCCTGGGAGTCTTCACGCTGTTAATATTAAGCACATTCCTTCCTACGGGCTTTTGCTGTAGTTTTTACGTTAGCCTAGAACATTCTCCCTTCTTTCCGTCTTCCCTCCCTCCTATTCTCTCTTCCTTCCTTTGTTCTTCCCTCCCGCCCTCCCTTCCTTCCTTCCTCCCTCTCTTCCTTCTTTCTTTCCTTCCTTCTTTCCTCCCTCCCTCCCTTCCTTCCTTCCTTCCATCCTGTCTCCCTCCCTCCCTTCCTTCCTTCTTTCCTTCCTTCCTCCCTCCCTCCCTTCCATCCTTTCATCCTGTCTCCCTCCCTTCCTTCCTATCTGCCTTCCTTCCTTCTTTCCTTCCTTACTTCCTCCCTCCCTCCCTTCCTTCCTTCCTTCCATCCTGTCTCCCTCCCTCCCTCCCTCCCTTCCTTCCTATCTTCCTTCCTCCCTCTCCCTCCCTTCCTTCCATTCTGTCTCCCTCCCTCCTTCCCTTCTTTCCTCTCTCCCTTCCTCCCTTCCTTCCCTCCTTCCTTCTTCCCTTTTTTCTTTCCTTCCTTCTTTCTCTCCTCCATTCTTTCCTTCCTCCCTTTCTCCCTTCCTTCCTCCCTCCCTTCCTTCCATCCTGTCTCCCTCCCTCCCTCCCTCCCTCTCTTCCTTCCTTCCTTCTTTCCTTCCTTCCTCTCTCTCTCCCTTCCTTCCTTCCATTCTGTCTCCCTTCTTCCTTCCCTTCCTTCCTATCTCCATTCCTCCCTTATTTCCTTCCTTCCTCCCACCTTCCTTTCTTTCTTCCTTCTCCCTTTCTCCCTTCTTTTCTCCCTTCCTCCCTTCTTTCCTTCCTTTCTCTCTTCTTTCCTTTCTCCCTTCCTCCCTTCCTTCCCTCCTTCCTTTCTTCTTCCCTTCTTTCTTTCTTTCCTTCTTTTTCTCCTCCCTTCTTTCCTTCCTCCCTTTCTTCCTTCCTTTCTTCCTCCATTCCTTTCCTCCTCCCTCTCTTCCTCTCTTCCTTCCTCCTCCCTTCCCCAATCCCCTTCTCTCTTCCATCTTCTCTCCCTTCCTTTCTTCCTGTCTTCCTTCCTTCCTCCCTCTTTTTCTTCCTTCCTTCTTTCCTTCCACCCTTCCTCTTTTTCTTCCTTCCTTCTTTCCTTCCCTTCCTTTCTCCTTCCCTTCTTTCCTTCCTCCCTTTCTTCCTTCTTTCCTTTCTTCCTCCCTCCCTTCTATTATTTAATTTGGGGCTTGGCAAGGAGAAAAAGTCTGATATTTAGACAAAAATAATCCTTCTTTTAACAGCTAATTTCTCCTATAAATTCTTCCTAAAATCATAGAAGGAATTTATGGAAGAAAATATGAAATGAAGTTATATGAGCTTAAATTAGACTAATGTTATGTTAATTTGAGAAGAATTTATACCTTTAAATAGTGAGTTCTTCCATCTAGCTAAAAAATACTCCAATCTCCTTTTATACCATTCTTAAGCTTTTGTCCTTTTCTTTATACAGAACCTACATATCTCCTTTTATATTGGTTCATAACTAGATAATGTTTTGGAGGTGTTGTAGTTGATGGAATTTTTTTTTCAATTACAATTGCTTACCGGCTGTCACTGGCATAGTGAAGTATTGATTTTTGTGCATTTCTCTTGATTCAGGTGCTTTCTGAACTCCCATTAATTTAACATTTTTCCGTGGATTCATTTGGATTTTCCAAGACAGTTTCAGATGTATTGTCACAGAAGGAAAGTCATTCTACTGCTATAAGATGTCTATGCTTCACTCTGTTCTCATTTTGTGCTAATTTTTATGTCTTCAAATTTAGTTGAACCCCTTGTTCCCACCACACCCACACTGAACACATGTATGTGTGTACACACACAGCAATGAAAAACCAATGCCCAAGACATTTACAACATGACAATGTCAGGAATATCCTTCATCTTCCACCATGACCAGTCCAGAATTCTTCTAGATGAAGCAGTTAATGTGGGAAAAGGGGTTATTCCATTTAAAAGGTATGAGACCCATTATAAATGGTCCATGATAAAGGACGCCAACAACAGTGACCTGGCTTTATGGTTGTCTACTTGGCACAATGCCACAGCCTGAATACACTACGAGCAATTATCTCAAGTATTCTAAGCACAGGCTGTTTAAAAGTATTTAGATGCCATTATTTCTGTCACAGGTCACAAAGACAAATAAACCTGAAGAAAAAGTCATGATGTTAGCTAGTATTCTTAAAATTTTAAACATTAAAACGCTTGGAATGAGTCATGAAGCAATTAAACAACATAGCTCACTTATTCACATGTCTTACTCATTCCTAAGCAGTTTGTAATCCCTGCCACGTCAGCTCCAGGAGTTAGCAGGATAGAGCTAATTTTGTTTTCTTAACATCAGGTGCAGTATCAATATTCTTCTGGTTGCAAGTAATAGAAAGTCCAACTCAACCTGTTTTAAACAAAAAATAAATATACTGGCTCATTGAACATAAAAGTGCAGACATAGGATCCAGCTTCAGTAAAGCCTTGTCCAGTAGCCCCTCAATATCACCAAGGGCCTAGTCTCTCTCTGTACTCTGTCATAGAGTCGGCTTCACCCCAGCCTGCTCTGTCCCACCCTGATACATCTATTCCATTTTTCAGAAGCTCCAAGTTTCCTTCCGTGGAAGCCAAAGCAAAAACCAATCAACACAAACTAAAATCATTAACAATAAAAGATGCCATATTCGTTCTGGCCCTTGCTTCCTTACATTTTTCAAAGAAGAGGAAAAGATGAGCTTCTTTCTTTCTTATAGAAGAAAGAGGGAACTTCTTCTTCAGGGCTGCTGCCACAGATACCTTCTCACATCTAATGCTGTCCACTGGTGTGACATGACTATCCCTGATCCAGTCGCTCTGACTGAAGGAAAGAGATGCATTGATGGACAGTCCAGACCCAACCCTTGAGAGAGCAGTGAGGCCCAAGCTGTGCACCTAGTGCCTGAGCATGGGGAATGGTGGCCAAAGAAAATGCGGGAGCGGGGAATGGATGTTAAGCAGCAAATTAGAGACAATCACCACTGACAGTCAGTGCTAGCTAGCTATGGTTTTGTTTAATTTCTGTGTTCTGAAAATCTGTACCCACCCAGTTCATGCGGTCTTAAGGCAGAGTCCCTTGCAAGGATTAAAGTGTCCAAAGTTGTGTTCAACAAGCATGAACCCATAGTTACTGTGATTTCAAATGAACCAGTCAAAATATTATGGTGTGTTTATAGTTTTCAACCCCTGTCTTCCCTTTTCTGGAAGCTGAGGACGGAAGACTTCATAACTATGAAGCCCGTAGATTTCCTCTATCTTAAAGCCTCTGGCTAAAGCACTATCCCTGGATTGCTACAGGACTCAAAGAGGTGGGGGCACAGAGGACAAATAACTCAGTGTAACGTCATCACTTACTACTGAATGTCAAACCCACAGACATAAATATCCACCCTCTCCCCTACTCCTCTAAGAATATCTTTAGTTGTAAATAGGGAATTTGCTTTTAAACAAGAGTGCAGGCTTGATTATATTCAGGCTTGATTTCTGCCACTACACCAGAAGATGCCACCAGTTCCTTCCAAATGCAGCTATTCTCTCTGTGACACAAGCCCCCATTCCTACGTGGACCCCACACCTTGCTTTTAGAAATGATCATTTCCCATGAGGTGACGAAGCAGATTCTAAGCAGGTCTTATCTCAAATTTTTTGCCTGATTCATTCCACAGATCTTTTGACTCTGCTATACACATTCTATGTACTCAATAAATATTTTAATGACTTGATTAATTTGAAATCATTTTGCTGTGAGAATTTTATTCCTTTGGAAGAATTATATCCCCTTGAAATGGAACAAAGCAAGCTGAGACTGCATATTTAATACACCTTTATTTCACCTGTATCTCTCATATGAGCAATGTCTCAGTAAATTTCCTTTTAGATTTTGATATACAAACTTGACAAAACACATGTATCATTCAACACACACACACACACACACAGACACACACACACACACACAACAATGTTTTTCTGTTAACAATGATGAGGAAAAATTTTATATGAATGTCACCAAAACTCAATACAACATCATTAGCAACATGATGTGCAGATAGAAGTTACACTGAAAATACAGCATTGCCGGAGTGTAAAGGGGCTGTGATTGTCTTGACTGTTACTGGTGCTGAGAGGAGACCCTAAGAGAGGATCAAAGCACAGTGGGTCATGCAAAGGCAGTGACAAATGTCATGTTGAAACATTTTGGTGATATGACAATAATTCTAATTCTGTTTAAAGCTTTTTCTGTTAAATAAGTAAAGTTGTTTGCTTTTAGCAATTTTTTATTCTAAATCCTCAACCTGCACCCCTACAGATTGATCACAACCTCCTGTTCTGGAGCCTTTCAAATAGCCTCAGGAACATTGTGCCTCTTTATCAGTTCCTCTGATGCTGAGAGTTTGCCTAAAATTGTCTTGTTGTTGCTGCTACGGTCTGAATATTTGTGTCTCCCCCAAAATTCTCATGTTGAAATCCTAATCCCCAAGGTGATGGTGTTAGGAGATGGAACCTCGGGAGGTGATTCTCCATAAGGATGGAGACCTCATGAATGGGATTAGTATCTTATAAAAGAGGCCCTAAAGAGCGCCTTCCCCACTTCCACCATGTGAGGACACAGTGAGAAGGCACTATCTATGAACCAGGAAGCTGACCTTCACCAGACACTGAATCTGGGCTTGTCAGCCTCCAGAACTGTGAGCAATAAATTCCTGTTGTGTATAAGCCACCCAGTCAATGGTATTCTATTACAGCAGCTTGAGGGGAACCAATACAGTCACCCAGGCAGACCAACCCCTCGTACCACCTCCTCCCATAACCCTTGACAAACCACTGCTTCAATCCTTCTCCCCAGCTTCATTCTCAACTTTTTCTTCAGGCTGCAGATGACAGAGTTTATTACAAGAAAGTAGCTTTTTATTGTAACTTTTTGTTTTTTCCCTAACAGCTTTATTGATTGATGTGTGTTTATTTCTATACATTCTCATAAACATAATATTTATGATGTGGTATAAAAACTGTACATGTTACTATATACACAGTCATTACTAACAGCCTAATTAATTGGTGATCAGAAAGTGATGTTTAAGCTTTTTATTTCCTGACATGGTAGTTACTTATACCTAGACATTTTACTGCATTTAGTTATATTTTAGGAAATTGGTAGGTTGTTTTGTGTTGTCATGTATTATATTCTTTCTCCTCTTCAAATAGCGGGCAATAGGCTCTGGGTTGCATTTTCATGCAAAATGCCTGATTTTCAGAAACACACTCGTGTAACTATCATTTCATTACATTAGACTGGACAAAATAATTTATTCAGCATTTACAAAATTTCTAGTATATTCAAAGAACTGGGCTAGGTGCTATAGAAAAACCAAGATGATCACTATGTGATTCTCCACCCTCAAACAGCTCCAGAATAGTAGGGGAGATAAATATCTATTCACCAAAGCACAATGCTGGTCTAATTGTGGCAAGCAATAAAATCCAGGCAGAAACAAAGCTCTTTGTGAGCAGAGATGCAATCATCCCAAATGCAGCAAAGGATGGAGACTTGACAATGAAGCCTAAAACCATTGAGTTAGAAAAGGAAAGTTTATAAGCATTTGCAAATGTGTAGATACATATTAATCACAGCATCAGAGTTCTAAAAAGAACAGCGAATATATCAGATCCTCACTGATCCCAGCAGTAGTAGGGATGAGATACAATTCTGCAACACTGGTAAAAAGGGAAGTTTATTCACTAAACAAATAGTTTTAATAAGAACGTGAATAAAATACCTGTTTCCTAAGCAAATGAAGCACTTGGATTATTTTCAAATTATATATTAGTCATATGACCTTGAGCAAAATCTATCTTCTGTTGGCTTCACTTTCCTCATCTGGAAAACTAGGACTTGAATTAAATGGTATCATAAGGTTGAAAATGCTGTAATTATATCACTTGCATACAATTCACCAAATTTTTGAGTGCCTGCTATGTATACAATGCTGTGTACACTGGAAAATAAAAAATTACCATAATGCATAGCTTTTGACTTCAAGAAACATAATCTTTGTGGAAAGGGCCATCAATATCAGGCAATAGATGCCCAAGGGTTGAAAGGAAAGGTCCAAATAATAAGCATTGTGGGAACTGAGTGCATAGGGTCGAGGAGCCAAGGAAAGCTTCCTGGAGAAGGAAAGTCTTGAAATACAACTCAAAGGAAGTTAAGATTTGAATAGGATATCAGAGGTGGAAGGCAGCTACCATCTTCACCCATCTGCTACCCACCAACCAAATGCCTCTCCAACGGAGAATGCCAAAATCATTCAGGATCCAAATCACTGTTTGGAAAATATCCTTATTTCGTTTCAGCAGTTACCTACTAAATGTCAATATCCATGCCACACATTAAAGCAATTAGTAAAGGCTGGATTTCCAGGCTTTTGTAATTCATTAACTTATAAATATTTTATTACTTCTGTTGGCAGTGTTCTTAGTTTTATGTAATCATCAGTTTACACTTTGAAACAAATCTGTAGCCTATGCAATAGCAGTAGTGATGAAAACCATATTACCTTATTCAAAGTGTTTATTATCATTGATAACAATGTCTGTTCAATGATTCACCCTCCTGCCTCCCTGGAGTGCTCATGGCTACTTTATCTCATCATCACAGGTATTGTCACTGGGTATAGTGTTCTATGATGCGTAATGGCCTTGTGATTATTATATCGTGGGATATGAATAATGTACTTCATCAGTTCATAGACTATCTTTTGTGAGAACATGTCACTACTGCTTTGAATACAATTTCTTAGGAAACAAGAATGAAATTTTAATACCAGAGATGCTTTCAGTTAAATACAATGACTCATTCACAATACAATCATCATACATAGCCAGTTGGGAAAATTAGAAAATATGTAAAATTATCTACAACATTTTTTTGTTTAAAAGATCAATTTTAAAACATCAACCAAAAAGGGAAACTAAATTATGCAAAGGTTCTATAGGCTTTATACACAGTTACAAAGATAACCTATTTTATAATATATATACTCAATGCCAGATTTTTTTTCATTCACTGCCTGTGTGGCCAGCTCCTTTGTCATCCTATCCAAGATGCACTATATACTTATGACTCACTCCATCTTGCTAGTCTGTGTTTTTTTCTAACTTCCTAAATGATCATTATATCACATATCCCTTGAAATCTGTAAGGTAAGGTAGGTTTTTATCATTTTTAAAGGGTTCTGAGAGCATTCACCTGTTCATGTGAATATATTACCATGCACTGTTTATTGTCCAGTGAAATACATCAAATCCTTCTTTGAGGAAATTTGTAGTATGAGAACAATTCTGGATAATGTCTGGATCACACCAAACATCATGACAGCTTCCATCCAAGCCCTGAATTTAATTCAAGACTTGGTCCTGATTTTGAATCCCCAAACCATAAATTCACCTTAGACAAGGTAGAAACTGAAAACCAAGACTTCAAAGGGAGCAATGGCTATCTCTACTCCATCCCCTTCTGGCAAGGATGTTAAAAAACCCAATACATCAAGGATTTGACAGCATCCTTGGCCATGCCATCCAAGGAATCTGTGTCTCATAATTTCTCATTTGGCAAGAAGCACTAAAATCCCTTTCTATGCTAAAAGGGTGAAGCTTGAGGACTAGTGAGAAATTTGGAAACAAGATGCCATTTGTCAGAAATGCAAAAGCATTGCCAATTAATGTGTGCTTCATTGAGATGGGAGGCAGAGGGGTGCATAAAAAAAGGGGAATCATACTTTTTTGCATAATGAGGCCAAATTTTTCAGATGGGAGTAAACACTGGGAGTAAGCATTTCTTTTTTTTTTTCCGAGACAGAGTCTCACTCAGTCACCCAAGCTGGAGTGCAGTGGTGCGGTCTCGGCTCACCTACAACCTCTGTCTCCCAGGTTGAAGTGATTCTCGTGCCTCAGCCTCTTGAGTAGCCGGGATTACAGGCATCCGCCACCACACCCAGTTAATTTTTTCTATTTTTAGTAGAGACGGGGTTTTGTCATATTGGTCAGGCAGGTCTGGAATTCCTGACCTCCCAAAGTGCTGGAATTATAAGCATGAGCTACCATGTACAGCTAGTATTTCTTATGTAAACTAAATGTGGGAAACTTTTGAAAGGAAAAAAATCAGTTATTATGTTCACCATACTATTTGTGTCAAAAATTTCTAGAGAAATGAGATCACAGTTCTGTTATTGGGCAAAGTTTGAACAAGAGAAGCTTCCGTTATCTCAGCCCCATCTTCCCTAGGACCAGCAGGCTTCTTTAGCCATGAGGAGACAACACCTGTTAGAGCACACAAAGCTCTACTGACCTCCAGTCAAGCTGCCCAAGGACTAGACTGGAATAACACATGGGACTGAGCAAGCACTCTGGAGAGTTTGGTGTGACCAGACAGAGATGGCGGAAACACTGAATAGTGAAGGGTTAAAGAGGATTGCATGGGAGGGGCAATGAGAAGGACTGTCAGGAGAAGGCTAGCATCATGGAAGTGGGGCAGTCACCTGAGTTACCCTCTGAAGGAAGACTCACCATGGGAGAACCTATGTTCTACCAGGACTTAATTCCAGATACATGGACTCTGCTTTGGTTCAGGACACTTAGAAATAAATCAGTGAAAGGGCAACTTATACTTCCTTTGGAGACTAGTGTGTACTTATTGGAGGAGGATAAGAAAGGTAATAGCTCTTTGGTCCGTGGTCAACTGAAGGACACTTGCCAACTCCAGTGTGCCAGCCTGTATTCATCTAACCAGCCTGGGAGATTTTGAATCTGATGCCCCAAACTCCTCCTCAATCCACTGCACAGCTACCTCCAAACCCCAAAAGGCCTGCTAAGCTAGTAACATATCAGTCCATTTGGTGGTGTTTAAGCAAATCTTAAAACAATCATGTCTTAAAATGTTTTAGAATAAATTCACACAGTGGTAGGAGTTTGAACAGGATAAATTCTCTGAGTAACCATCCTGTAACTTTACTGTGAAAATTCAGGGTCCTAGTCAGTATTTCCATTTCAGAAAAAAAGAGGGGTAGAAAGAGGAGAATCAGAAAAAAAAAAAAAGAAAAGAAAAAGAAAGGGAAGAGAAGGAGAAAAACACAGCAGACACCATAAAAGTACTTTATTCAGCCTTCAAAACCCCAGTGTTCTAAAGCCTATAAATATTATGCATTTATTCTCCAGGAAAGATGGTATTTTGGCTCTTACTGATTGTACTGAGCTGGAAAAAATCCAGAATACCAAGAGATAGCCAAAAGAGTTTCACTGGGCCCTTACTTCCTATTGAATGCAGAACTAATTAATATTCAGACAAAACTTTCACTGCTTCCCACTGCCTGAAGAATGGATTCTGTAATTTTCCAAAATATCTTGAACCCTCTTAGGGAATCTTCCCACAAATCTGATACAAGGGATAGCAAATGCACCAGCAATCTCTGTCCAGAAATCTTTCCTAAGTTCAGTGTGTCCTCTCTTAACTGGCTTTGGTAGAAAGAAGGATAGCAATTATTTCTTTCCTCTGTGCCTCCCTTGACTGTGGTTATGTACATGACTGAGTCCATTTAAAAATAAATGCTACCTTTGGGTGTTGATAGGTGTCCACAAAGTGGGAAATAATAAGATCTGGAACTGTCTATACCATCACAGCCTCACCTTATACATTTGGAAATACTGGATTTCCTAAGGTAAATGGCGCTGGCACCGAGATTCCTCTGAGTCACTATTGGCTAGACCTTTGTTAATGAATTAACACAGGTTTTCACACTAACATCTCCATGCAAGTTTCCTATGCTGCCTCCCTTCAAGGTTATGATTCTCAATCTTATGGTGAATGTGACAAAATGATCAACTTGTTATCTAGAAAAAGATGAACAGATGCACAAATACTCAATATTTCAGAGGGTTCCTGGACCACGTGAAGCCCATACACTGATCCTTAGGGTCACAAGGACATTGAGTTACAAACTACTACATAGCTGAACTGCTTCTGGAAATACTTATGCCGTGAAGTTCTCTGCAGTGAGCTTTTAAAATTAGCAGCTCTAAGTCATTTTAATAACTTCAATTACTTTCCTTGGTGTAAATTTTGAAATGAAGAAATGACATTCCCCTAGAGAATTGAGGGAAATATCCCCAAATGCTAATAATCAGGCTTTAAGAGTGGTACGTAGTATCACAAAGATTGAGTGACAGAACTGCAAAAGGATGCATATCGCAAATAATTGAGAATAAATTTAGATACAGTCTATTGTCTTGTGAGCAGAAAGTTTCCATATACTTAACATCATTGGATTTCTCAAGAATTACAAACATTTGTCGTATTCCAGACATTGAAAATCTGCTTTTCAGAGGGCTTCTGGGTTCCCTGAAACCCATGCACTGCTTGCCTAGGGGCCCATGAATACTTAGTTACTAAATCCTCCACAATTACATTGCCTCTGGGAATGCTTACACAATTTAATTCTCAATGTGAGAGTTATGAGTATCATACGTTAAGCAGCCAGTGTAGATAAGGTCGTGACAGAACATTTATGCTTTATACTAATTCTCACCTTGTAAGAAGAACACGATACCTAACCTCAATAGCAAAATTTTAACAATAATTTTGTATGATATTAACATTAAGCAATAAAATCAATAATATATTAAATAATATCTTAAGTCATTAACAGCAAGAGTATACACAAACAGTAAGAAAAGACAGCACAGTGAGTCCAGAAGGAGAAAAAAGAAGCAGAAACAGAAGCATGGAACTCTATCTTTAGAGGCTGAGAAAAATACAGAAATAAGACACGAAAGAAGATTTTTAAATACAGATTTATATAAACTTAAAAAATAGAAACTTTCAAAAAGGGAGAGCGTGGAATATTCCAAAGTCAGGAAGGCATGACATATACAAGGACAATAGTAGCTTGATACCCCCAAAATTAAACCCAATAGAATCATTAAAATGTTTGAAGAATTTTCCAGGAGAATCAATTTAACCTGAAATCTAAGGTGAAGTTTAGAATTGAAGAAAAGCTGACAACCAAATTTTTTTCTGCATGTTGGTATCAAATTTCATATCTTTTTAATGAAGAGGACCATCTGGCTTTCTTTACTTATGTATACAGTCTTTGGAGATGTGGCACTATTTACTTCTGCTTAATTCTGTAATAGTCTCTTTTCTCTTTTTATAGCTGTCATTTCAAGCATGCCTTAGAGAATAACATTCTCTGGAACACTGCTGAATTGCATGACTTCTGAGATTCTTGGGAAAACATTTTGTTGTTCTTGATATGAGGAAATCTTTGAGGGAAGTTATGAGTAGAGTACATTAAAATAATAAATATTTACATAAGTAAGTAGGAAGCTGTATATTTTTGTAATGCTATACAGAATGCTATGGTTCTAATCTGTAGGTTACTATCAGAGTATTATGAATTTGATTATATATCTACATTTATCAGTGAGCTTTATACTGTCATATGTTTTCATGTTACTATTAGGTTGTTGCAAAAGTAATTGCAGTTTTGGCATTAAAAGTAGTGGCAAGAATTGCAATTACTTTACCACCAACCTAATAATTAGTAGCCTTTCTTTCCAGCTTGAAAAACTCCCTTTAGCATTTTCTCTAAAGTAGGTCCAATGGTGGTGAACTCTCTTAGCTTTTGTTTGTCTGGGACAGTCTCTGTTTCACCCTCCTTCATAAGGAAAGTAAAGTATTGCTAAGTAAAGTATTCTTGGATGGTAGTTATTTATCATTTAGAATTTGAACTCTATCATTTAACTCTCTTCTGGCCTGCGAGGTTTCTGTTGAGAAATCCACTATTAGCCTTATTGGTGCCCCCTTGCAAATAATACACTAATATGGGTATGTTAGAAGAGAGTTTTCTTTCTTCAGAAGGCCTGCAATTCAGCTTTCAGACAAAACATAATAGATATGAAATTCAAGGCAGTATATAATCAGTGTCAACTAAATAGTACACAGAACTGTACAGAGAAAGCAGGGGATCATGTGGGGTTGGGTGATCATGAAAAGTTTCAAGGACCATGTAGAAATTGACTGTTGGCTGCATGGACACCTGAATAACATGGAACTGAATGAAATATACTGATTATGATGACAGAGACCTTAAGCCTCATTTCTTACTCATTTTCCTAGTGAAAACAACATGTACTCTTAGTGGCCAGCTCTATATATGCAGAGAACTAACCACTAATCAAACTTTAAGAATTGAGAAATCATATTTAGATTAAAATCAACCTTATACATATTAATATACATTAAAATAAACCATATAATTGTATTTAGATTAAAAGCAGCCAAAGACATTTAATGAAAGAAAAATAATGTGAATGTTAATTCTGCCCTAGTTCTATTTCCCTTGCTAAGCCAATCATATTTAGATTAAAATCAACCTTATACCTAGTTGCTCACTAGAATAAGCATGACTTAAAAAAAAAAAAAAGTGGGAAAAACCTAAAGGGTTTAATAGTATATATTTAATTATATTCAATTAGCCATTTTTCTATTCTTAAGTGATGCTAAGTGGCTTTGGGAATAAAAGATTATAATGACTTAGGTTTTTTAATTATTCAATTAATGTTGGTGATTAATTAACATGCTATCTTACTATTAGTGTGCTAGTGTTTGAAACTCAGTGAAGACATAATGGTTTTCACCTTTACAATATTATTATTTTATGTGACAGATGCATGTGTTTTAATGCCTGTATTTCTCACACAATGTAGATCACCTAACAAATGAGTAATGGCTAGAAATGGCTCTGGATAGAGAATTTTTTTAAAACTTCAAAATATTTATGAAGACAAAGAAAATGGGAGAAGAAGCATTTTTCTACAAAGACTAATTTTTGAAATCAGAAGTGACAAATTTATTTTCTGTGCCTGCTCTATTTCCTTACAGAATTTAAGTTCAGTTTGGTAACTTTTGATCCAGATTGTATGCAGCTGGTCTAATTAGTAGAAGAAAATGGATTTAGACCACTCAGTAAGTCAGGAGATATCTGTAGACTCCTTGCACCAGGTATATATTCTAGTTAATTTCTAATAGAAATATGTTTGTAAAAAGTTTTGGTTAAAAGATCAAAAATTTGATTATATTTGATTAACTGTGATTAAAATATTTGTCCCAGAAAGATTTTGTTTACCATTGTTATCACAAAAAAAATCACTAAGTTTCAAGAGGATGCACGGACAAACAAGGTGCAATTGTTTAAAGCAAGATTATAACGTGCATTTCCAACCCCACATTTCCTTTCCTCCTATCATATATTCTGCCTTCTGGCTCCTGGGGAGAGACCCAGCAGTGTAAACCTCAACTGATACCAGGAACTACAAACTAACTGTAGCTGAGGCAAAGAGGTTCCAGTTTTCTGGAAGCCACAGGCACTGAACAGATATAAGCTACATTCCCAAGAGCTGAGGCAATAGGTCTTCTCACAACACTACAACAATCTGGAATTTAAAAAAAAACAAGAAACTTTAGAAGCTGACAGCCAAAGTCAATGGGATTCATGGGACCGTATTTTTGATAGGTTAGGGTTTGGGGAATGTAGGCGAAGTACAGAAGGGGCGATGGAGCATTTCTAACAAGTTGTCAGATGCTGCTGCTGCTGCTGCTCTGGAGGCTTCACTTTGAAAACCACTGGTCCATCAATAAACTCCTTTCTTCCTGTCATCCCTTCTGGGCACACTGAATCATTCAGAATGCCACTGCTCTCTCTCTGCAAAAATGGACTCTTCTATGGTGGTGCAACATCTAAAATAACTTCCCATATTTATTTTTGAAATGTTGCAATATCCTTCTTCAAATATCACTAACAATTTTTCTGTGAAGACTAATTTTTGAAATCAGAAGTGACAAATTTATCAGAAGTCTGACTATACATTTTTTCATTTTAAATGGCATTAGTATGATTTCATTCTTGTTCCCTCTCTGCCCCTAATTCCCAATCTTGCCCTTTATAAAATGGTTCAGTAGGGAGAATAAAGCAGCTTTTTTATTCTCATAGACTTCTTGCTCCAAAGACATTTAATGAAAGAAAAATAATGTGAATGTTAATTCTGTCCTAGTTCTATTTCCCTTGCTAGGCCAAAAATTTAGACAACACAGTATTGGAGTATTCTCTATGGGGCACCAACTGATTAATACAAATTTAATTAATTTCCATTCTACATATCTAAAACATTACCTCAGAGTAGTTTTTATGTGAATAAAAACAGGATTACACAGAAGCAGAACCCAATGCAAGCCCACCCTCAGCCTCAGTCAGCCCATAGCAATGATCCAGAATTGTTGTCCTAAGTTGTGGCAAGGGGAAGGGCCATTATACCTCCTAACTGACAGTCACTGGACTTAGGCTGTCCCTGGAAAGAGGAAAGTGACCTTGACTGAGTCAGGTTTATTCAGCTAAAGCGCTGTAAATGGGGGCTGACCACTGAGCACCATCTTGGGACAGCACTCTCAGAAGCTGAGGAGGAAGTCCTTCATTCCTGAAAAGACGTCAGGACGACATATGTCACCATTAACTCAGCTACCTAGCACCATATGGATCAATTCTTCCTGCAGGTTCTGGGAGCAGCTTCTCCAGAATTCCAGGGCCCCTCCCTTCCTAGATGAAGCTAAGAAGAAGGCGGCCAGTG